GGACCTTGATAGCAGATTTTCCCAATGCAAATTGTCTTTCAATTTCCTGACCACTTGTGCCAACAATGTGGATTATGGATTCAAGTAAGATGAAATAATTAACAACTTTAGTCTGTTCTCCACTTAACAACTTTAGTCTGTTCTCCACTTATCACGGATGCTGCCTAGTGGCCTGGTGGTGAAGATTTTTCTTTTCTTCATGTTCAGATGCACTCTATATTGAAGGCTGTAATCCTAGATCTTTGTAGTAGGCACTTCAAGTCCTCTTCAGTTTCAGCGAGCAAGGCTGTGTCTACATAATGGAGGTTGCTGATGAGTCTTCCTCAGATCCTGATACCACATGCTTCTTCATAAAGTTCAGCTTCTCGATCTTTTATCATACTGACTAGGTATGGAGACTAGGTATCCCTGACACACTCCTGTCTTGATTTTGAACTATGCAGTGTTCCTTTGCTCTAGTTGGACAACAGTGGCTAGGTACAGGTTTCACATAAACAAAATTGAGTATTCTGGGATTGTCATTCTTCTCAGTATTAGCCATAATTTGTTGTGACACACAGTTAAATGCTTTTGCATAGTCAATAAAACAGAAGATAGTTACTCATAATTCATTTCCTGGACCTACTGTGTCTCCAAAGAACATATTCTGGTGTCTTTAGGGATTAAATAAAGAGGTCATCAAAATCTTGTCCCTCACTCTGCCTTTATAAAAAGGGCAACACTTTCATCTCTGAATTAAGTTAATTTCTCCATGCTCCTATCTATCCTGCCTACCTGGTACTCTAAATGATTCAACAAAAGAAAGGACATTTCACAAGTCTATATGCTGAGACTATCAATTGCTCTTTGTTTCTCACTTCTGAATTCCAGTCACCAGTTACTATTAATGTATCTTCACTGCATGGTTGATCAATCACTAGATTGAAGTAGTCAGAAAACATGGCACTGGTGATGGAAATAGGACCAGAGATCATATGATATAATTTTGTATGATCAGTAAGTTATTTGCTGCAAGTTCATGTCTTTCTAAAATGAAAATTAGTCCAAGAGAACCAAACAAGACCTAGAATATATCCCATCCAAATTCGGAGACCATTGCTAAGAACAGATTCAATGCAAGAACATTGAGGACCAAAGACCAGATGAGTTTGTGGAGTGAAATCAAGGACATTACATATAAGGACAGTAGAAAGACATTACATATAAGGACAGTAGAAGGTTAGAAAAAAACAGAAGAGAAGTGAGAGAGAGGGGAAGGGGGAAAAATCTGCAAGCTAAAAAAAAAAAAGAACAAACAACCCACCAACATGGATGTTAGAAGAGACTCTGAAACTTGTCAGAACACAAAGAAGCTAAAGCGAAAGAAAGAAATGATGAAATAAGAGAGCTGAATAGATTTTAAAGGACTGTTCAAGAAAACTAAAGAAAGCAAAGAATTAGAATGAAAAATGGAAAGAACTGGAGTTAGAAAACCAAACCAAAAGGGATGAACCTGCTCAGTATTTCTGAAGATAAAAGAGGTGAAGAAAAAAAAAAAATCAAGCCCTGAGTTGCAATACTA